TTTCGGAACAGACTGTTCAAGCCCTACGCTAAGAAGTAGAGATTTCCTTCTGGATGGCTAGCGAATTGTCACCAGTCGTGTTTGACTGGCTAGTCCCTCAGAAAGACGAGGCGTATAAATATATTTTAAATCCTAAATTTTGTGATGGATCCGTTTCATGTTAATTTAGGTGTAACGTTAATTTGAACTCTCTCGTAGGAATTTAATGTTACAAAATATTTTAGCATTTGAGATGGGTAATCGTAGTATTAGAAGTTTTGTCGTGAGTTCCTTCGTGCCATCGCGGGAAAGCGCGAGGTACCGGAACACAGTTTGGGAAACGGTGTTCTAGATATCACGGAAATTTTCCGCCGGAAATGGGAAGTTGTTATCTCACCTCGTTCAAGGCCGCCAGGATCGCCACAGACATGGTGGACGCTAGCATTGCGGCCAGTGTCCTGTGCACGATCTGAAACAAAAGCAGTCTCACACTGTTCGGTGCTCTAAGCTACTGCGCCCGTCACCTGCCACGTCATTTGAAACACTTTCACGGGAACAGAACAACAAAAACGCAGTCTTCAGTTTCGGAAAAAATGACAGAATAAAACTTTTTGTGAAGAAGATTGGAAAGCGTAATCTTTGACGTACAGAAAATTTAAAAAGGATTTCATCCTTAAGAATGTTAATAATAGAATAAACATTCCATTTGCTGATATTATTATTCCATCTATTCACCACTTTATAGGTTATTTACTTCTATGTACATGAGACAGACTTTCCCCTGAGGAACATAGTGAAGCAGCTATTTCCGAAATCCATTTTGTTTTTAATACGTTTTACATGTATTATATAGTTTTATTGTTAGAGATGACTATATATTTCACGACAGCGTCTTTCGAATGAAATATGAAGATCCTAAAATGATGATGATGATTATTATTATTTCCATGTAGCCTACTCGCATATTTATCATCATAATTTGTATTACTGATACATTTACTGCATAATACACATAGATCAATTGAAATGCTTTTATTGATTGGAATGTCCAAGCAACTGATTAGCAACTGATAGATTGTACCAGAATAGTTCGAATAATCCTAATGCACATAGATCAATTGAAATGCAATAATTGATTAGAATGTCCAAGCAACTGATTAACAACTGAGAGATTGTACCAGAATAGTTCGAATAATCACCGACACATTGCATTCAACAAATCTATTTCCATGGGAGACGTACATTTGGGGAAAAAATGAAATTAAAATAAACAATGAGCTCACGTGGAAACTATCTGCATTCTGGGATGGGCTTCAACGTAGCTTACCTCCAGAATAATTAGGACGTAGAGTCCCAGGAGCACAATGGCGGCGTACACGATGCCGCTGTCAGTGTCAATGGGTGACAGATCACAGTAAACGGCAGTTGGGAAACTGGCCTCCATGTTGGTCTTCATCTGTATGCGCATTATGCTCCGAGGTACTAGCCTGTAGCACAGGGGAACGTCGTTAGTCTGAAGGAACAGTTCTGTACAAATGTTTCATGTCCACATATCGGTTCATCCGTCAAATGCTCAGAAATCAATCAACACTGCAAGTAGTACAATTTGCTACTTTACGTTCGTTGGATATACTTGTGTACTGAAGAACTTGCCCCAGGGATTAGTAAAATTAAATTCACAAAAATAATGAGGGTAAGATTTTTAGAAATTATATTGTAATTACCCAGAACGTAGAATATCATTTGAATAAGTGAATAAACACGAGTTTACGTTCTTCTGGCTTTTGAAATCGTATAAACACGTTGGTAGATGCCAATGTTTCGGAGGAAGCTACTGATTCCATCTGCAGGGCTGAAATAATATGATGGGAATATGAGGCTTTTATGTGGGGTTAGAAAACGAGATGGCTGAGGGAGTGGTCCAATCACAAACGAGGGTCCTGACCATCAGAGAATTTCCTATCCTAGCAGGTGTGGGCCGGGGAGGAGGGGGTCTTGGGAGAGGACAAAGTTAAAATCAATTAATATGAGCAAATGTCACACTTGTTTTATTTCGTGAAAATCGAGGAAAAGGAAACAAATTAAATTTTAAAGTGATTCGAGGTTCTTATGGCTGTATTCCGGAGCTGAACTTAGGGAAAGTACGTTTCTCTGAAACTTTGGCAACTAAGACGAGTCTACACATCGCAGAAACTCGTAGGAACAGTATCATATGCGGAAATAGAGTTTAAAGAAGTGCCAAATTATATTGAAATACCTACGAATATTTATATATGAGGCAAAATAAATTCATGGGAGTATAGTTTGAAACGCATAAACCTCGTATTTGAACGAAAATGCTTGTAGACTAACCTTGAAAAGAAGGAGATTAACATTTCAGGTTAGCTCAGTTGATATCTGTATAATTTAACACACTAAATACACATATTAAATCTGTGGTTATGGTTAGGTTCCATCGTGATATTTTAAGACGCTTTATCACTAGGCTCTGTGAGTGTTAATTACAGCTGAGAAGATCGCATATTCCTCGTATTCGGAACGTTTGAATAAAGCATGGTGTACTTCGGGTTAAATGGTGCACTTACCTGACGTCGAAGTCCTTCATACTGAACACTTTTTTGTTGACGACATCCGGCACATCATCTAACAGCTCTTTGGAAACAATTGGTATCTCCCAGATCTCACTGACGTTCTGCAGAAAACAATCCTCGTTAGGGCATGTAGCAAATGAACTGTCAATATCATATAATGAAATATTAGACTCTTTTTAAGAGACTGGGTTTTTAAGAGATGGGATTATTTTAGAGGAGATTATTAGAGTGAAATTCCATGTACCATATGCTAATACATCGTTAGTGTAAATAAGTGCATGTCAGCTGTCAGACCAAACTAAATGAGGTACTATGAAAATACAAAGAAATTGCATCTTACATTCCCTGGATTACGTGAGGAATGCCTAAATATGGAATTTCATTATTACTACTGCTAATAGTCCTCGATTAGATGGCAATATGCACAGAATTTCTATCTTGCGCCTGTCAATACTGATATCTAAATTTTTGGCTATCTCACAAAGATCATGAAATTTTGTGGTACGTTCTGATTTAATTGGCTACCAATATCAGTAAGGCAAATATACCCTGGAAATACCCTTATAGATCTACAATTTGACTGTAGGAGTTGTAGAAGCAGCTAAACCTTGGGACAAATTGTGTAGTGGCTTTTCCTATGCAACGAATTGTTATCAAAAGACACAAGCGTGTCTTCATAGCTAATTCACAGAAAGCTCTCAAAATACACATGCAGACTCTGAAGGTATTGTACTTTTTTCAAACGAAGTTGTTCAAAATTTGGTGGTATTGACTACCACTGATTTTTCCGAAATATATTGTATTGATGTGGCTTCAAGGAGTCACGAGGCACACATTTGCCCCATGCACTATAAATATATTGTATTGATGTGGATTGACCTAGTTGCTCGATGTGGCTTCAAGGAGTGACGAGGCACACATTTGCCCCATGCACTATATAGCGTACCTCCACCGACACGTAACCTCATCAGGGAGACAAACTTTGTCCTTCACCTAGCCCAGGGTGACCGCTCGACCTGTGCGTGACACCATAAATGCTAGACAGAGTAAGGGACTCGATGTATTAACGAATTAAGATGGGAAATAATCCGAAGAAACCATAAATATCATGCATGAAGAAAACCTGGATGCTGGGCAACCGTTTGGATCAATTCATTTCCCAATACGAGAACTAAGTAAAAATGTATAAGCCTTTTAAATATTTATATTTCCATTCGTGGTCACGATGTAAATAAGCAACTTCATTTTAGTACAGTTAATTGCCTGATGAATTGCAACGAATAGGTAGTTCACTTCACACCATAAAATAATATGTCTAAATTATTTAATGACATCATCTGTGGGCCTACAAAATGTTAAAATATTTGGTAAATGAAGGCGCGTTTGTCTTACAAGTTCGTTAGGTTTGGGTAATTATATTTGAAGGGGAAGTACCTTTACATATTATTGGAGAAAGGATTTGTTCTCGGCCCAAGAATTTTCAAAAAATAAACTGTATTTAAATATATAGCTTAGTTAGTAACAATCTCATGAGTGTAATCAGCTGGCCACTTTCCTTTCATTACTTATGTGAAATAGCATAATAATCGTATTTTTGAATTAATAGGTTGCCAAGCCACAAAACAGCTGACAACATTTTTACATACAGAAACCAAACCAAAGACAAAGAGAAATGGAGAAAATCTACAAATGTATTTTTTTACATTATGAATTGTGATTCTTGTTTCCGAGGTTGTTTGGAAATTTTCCCTTCTGTCGGATGTACCATGACTTCCATGGAATTACTTGTGAGATGCCTTTATGTAACCTAGAAATTATACGGGTTTATAAGTTACAGGAATACTGTTCTTTTTATCATTATTTGTGGAGGTAAACTTTCATGGAAAGTTTAATTCCTCATCTAAAATAATTTTTCTCCTTTAATTAAAATTATTTGTGCAATAAATTGAAATCGTCAAAGTTCGACAGTTACAGACCTTTGTTCCTCGGTTTCCTTGTCTTAATACGTACTTCACGCCGTCCGCAATTCTAATGGTGCATACATCGAATCTCACGCTATTATAAAAAGGCAATTAATTCCAGCACAAGCTCCATGGCGTAATTACTTGTTCAAAAACAAGTCGAAAACATTATACAACATGCTGTCAGATTTAGTTTTCATGGCACACGTCGTCAAATGGGGCAAGCAGTCAAACGCTCAAACCACGGGCGCCTAATAGTTACAATGGGTGTTCGAAGCGGCCTCGGTCCATTTCACGGCAGACGGCATTCTCTCGAACACACTCAACATTTTGGCATCGAGCTTTGATCACACTTCCTTGCAGTCTTGCCTCGAGATCTTCGACAGTCCTCGGAGGGACTGCGTAAACGTGCTCCTTCAGGGGTCCCCACAGGAAACAACTCACCGGCTAACGCGGAGGATATGCAATCGGCCCTCCACGACCAATTCACTTTCCTGGGTGTGTCAATTTCTACCACTGCCGGGCATCTTGACCATAGAGCGGTGGAGCTCCGTCGTGCTGTAACCACGTCTGCCCCACAGCTAGAGGCACGTCCTCAATCTGCCCGTTACAACAGTTTCAAGAAAATCACGATATTCTTCAGCAGTCAGTCTGTCAGGAAAGATACCTGATATTTGAGACTTGATACCTACGTTCGCGGATAGCATGAGGATTATCCCATGACCAGAGGTAATTACTGTGGACGTTGAGCACACTCTCACGCGTAAAAAACGTTTCGACTGTCCACAGAATATTGAGCAAGAAGATCTCATTGGCAGCTTGTTAATATCGCAACCATGCGAAGACTTGTAACCTTAGAGGACGATCGTCTGCAAACAAATGTGAGCTCCGCGAGTTGTGGTGCTGGTGCAATTGATCGTCAAAAGTACGTCGAGGACCGTCGGTTGGGACAGTCCAAATTCTCGTGGGATATCGTGAGAGCTCTTCCACGGCTGCAAGTACGGCATCTTCACTGGGCGATGTCTGTAGAATCCGTGGACGAACTACATTCACATTTGCCGTAGGTGTTACACATCCTGTCTCACGGAGACGGTGATCCTGTCGTCTGAACACATTAGCGTACCCCCTTGCAGCTCGACTAGTACAGGCACCGAGGGTTACGAACCTGTCCCAGTATTCATCGTGCGTGTATTCCACGGTCATTCAGTCCCAACTGAGCCCCGCAGTGCACTGCGTGTCTTGAGTACGCCTAACGACGCTTTATGCAGTCCTGATAAATAACACTGTTGAGAGTTGTGTTGCCCTATTTGACGGTGACGTGTATTTTGTGCTCGATTCGTCCCATTATAGTGCCTGACTATGGGCCGAACTATTATGGCGTGGAATGTATCCTATTAGCCGCCTTTTATACCGTCTCAGCTACCCACTGAGTCTTCTAAGAAAGGGTTGCCGGAAATCCTGCCCTGGATTAAAGCAATCAGAACCCCAAACAAACCACTCGTCTCAACCTGCAGTCGAGGTTAGGAATTAAGTAAGATTTGGAGTTTTTATGGAAGTGAGTCCGAAGATGGCTGTCTTCTGGGTTGTAGTGCCGTGTAGTCTGGTAAAAATTTACCAACATTTTAGAAGTCCTTGCTGCCTCCGTCATCAGGGTGCTACAACCCAGAAGATGGTCATCTTCTGAGGTTAAAAATGCCTGCAGTTTCGTCTCCATTCTCCCTGTGTCTCTTCGTGGCATAGTGTTCAGTTAAGTTAACATTGGGATACATCACAAAAGGACTATGGAACTCTCTGTAAGCCACATTTACCTAATTTTCAGAAATAACTTCAGTGTCTTATTGACTATTACAGGGTACTCAGTAGAAGCAAAACGTCTTCCTAATATTCATACAGCGGCGTATACAGGTTGACAAATTTAATCTGCAATCATTTTTAAGCTCGGCAAAATGTGGTAAAATATTTGTTTCCTGCTAAGGTAATTTTTCTCCCCGAGGCAGGCGGATGAAGGAGTGGAGGAAAAAAAAAAATTGGACATGGCACTCTAAAGAAACGCCTCATTTTACAAGAAATCGTAAATTCGTCTTTTAGTCCAATTAATTTTTGTACATATCTAATTAGTATTAACGGTATTTTAATACCCATTAATAATAAACTATTCAATTAGTTTAAACTTTGTCACCAACGGCAAAGGTTGATTTATTTGTACAAACAAGGCTGCACTTACCATGACAAGGATTATATTGTCTCCGTTGTAAGCAGACAGATTGGCCACTGTCTGGAAACCAGGGGCGACTTCAACCAGTTGTATCCACACCGAGAGGAACTTGGTAGACATGTTGCCGTAGTAGGCGGGTAGGAAGGCACCGCGTAGCGCCAGTTCCAATTTTCGGTTCGTGGGGTGTTCCTTCAGCCAGTAGCCTAATGCTGTTCAGGAGTTTATCAATCACACTTTATGGACTATTAGAACAGCTCAGTTGTTCCAAATACATCCATAGCCATCGGTAACTCAATAATTATCCCCTTATACCAATACACACGAAATACTGCCCCTTCGTTCTAACATAATAACGTGTTCTTAGTCAAATATCTGACATCTTCCTCTAATCTACTCGCCAATGTGATCTTTATACATGGCGGAATAATCGTACATCGATTGTAGGGGAGGAAATATCGTCAAATCGAATCGAATCTATATATTTAATTCTGCAGCGTTATATTTGTTGTAAGCGAACGGAAGTAACTTATCGGGTTGACAAGATGATGTCGCTTTGTTGTTCGGAAAAGTATTTGCGATCAGCTGTGAAATTACGACCTTTCGGGTTAACGCTGTTGAGGATTACGACGTACAAATCTGTTTTGCTGCATTTTATAGAAGAACATGTACGCAATAGGCCATGGAAGGGTGAAGAGTATTTATTTTCGTTGTCCTGTTCCCATTGTGATTACCGATAACATTTGAATGTTATTATGTCACTCAGTTTTTATAGTGGGGTGTGAAATAGTTAAATATTTTTCAGATTTACTTTCTCCCCTCACCAAAAACACGTAAGAATTTTAGTAAAACCGCGATTAAAAAGTCTTTGATCTGACACCAACAGGTTACACAAATGGACGCATTACGACGGAAATATGTAGCCCTAAAAATGTCAACCTCGAAAAATTATTACCGACAGACTCTTCCAGACATTCTTCAAATTAGTCAGACAGTGCCTAAGTAATTCTGAAATGGCACTGTTTGTAATAACCAGCTCCTAAACGTTACAATTTTCCTTCTAAACAATTTTATATTAAGTTGAAAGATATTTTAGAGCAAGGAAATACTATTTCTGCAATTATGATAATCAAATATAACTTCTGTTGTGCCTATTAATAACATTGGTTTACTACTGATTTTAGAAGGACTTTCTGATGTAGTACTCTTGTACATACAACGATAGCTGATATAACATTTATCTGAAATTAAGTTAATATTTATGATCAAATACAAATTACTTTAGAAAAATGTGGAAGATTTGCTTTAAAACTGAAACCTGTAAGATGCACATAGCGTAGTTTAGTAAAACTGCATGTACGTACTATAAGCTGAAACCCTGTCATTTTAACCTATTATGCATTAGCGAAACTATAGAAATTAATGAAATTAATGCATATATAATTGAAAATCCTAAATGTAACAGGGTGGGACCTCGTGGACTGGAATCATCTTGCTTAGGGGAGGGAACGCTGGAGGTGTTTTTGAACACGACATTAAACCTTCGGTTTCCACAAGATGCGATAGATTTCTTGATGGCCGAAGTGACTTGTGTTCTTCTCAAGGAGCGCCGTGCTCCTTGCAATCCGGATGTCAGCTTTTAGGTTTTATTTGAACTGTTTAATTTGCGAATAGTCACGAACAATTATAGAAATTGAGGCCACTTTAAACACATCAACCATTCGGTATCTACCCTGACACAAAAATGCAATTTCCTGAATGCAATGCAGTTTTAGTTTAAGAAATAATCTATAGGAAATTATTCAGAACTTCAATCTCTATAGCGGAATACAAATTATTAGAAAAGTTGAAAATTTGACGATAAAATAGTCATGTGTCATTTAAAGGTGTAAGGTACTATTTTTCAGTTATTTGGTTGATGGTTTCTACGTGAGGCAAGACAGTGTAAATCCACTCTGGTTTCATCTCAATTCTGTTATCATGTTTCGTACTTTTTCATACAAGTTTCTGAAGAGAGATTTATGATGCTATGAAGTAAAATTCATTACTGAAATATGGAAGTATGGCTTAATTTACAGCTTTTTGGTTTGGTGTAATATTTATACTGTTGCGAAGAGCCAGTGTAGTTAAGAAAACTTTACACTCAGGGTATTAATATTTATTTTCATTCGGTATTCACGTGAATTTGGAAGCTCTAAGGTCCTTAAAGCTTATGTTTCTCTATAAGGGATTAAAACTATGTCAACTATCGTTGAAATTCATATCTCAGTGATGCAAAAGGATACTTTTAATGTTTCCCTCTGGAATGGAAATTTGATGCATCTTGCTCTCTTTCTCACATTTCATTATCAGCACAACCTGAAACATATCACAAAGGGAATTAGTTAAAAATAAGGCGAAATGTGAATTCCTAGGGAGACCATCCTGAGCAGCAAGCCGCACTGCACGGAGCGTTTTCTATTCGATGACGGGAAGTTTCCAGCCAGGTTCAGAAGATCGAAAATAATCTTCTCGCCTTGCGCCCAGATCTCATAAACGAGATCCTGACGATAGAATTGCTATGTGAGGGTACCTTTTACGGACGGAATACAACTACCTGATTCAAGAATAGCCAGTAATGGTGGATAAACGGACAAAGTTTGCTCGGTTTAGTATGTTATGAATAACCAGGGTATTTGAAAATCTTTTTAATCACATTAATTAATAAATAAACTTTATATCCTTTGAATATATAAAATTGTATATAAAATATTGTTCGGAAAAGGGAAGCAGAAACGTGTCGCCGGAGAGTGTTATATTTTAAATATAAATAAACCATTCTGTTATATGGAGCCAGTCTTTCCTTGATGTCCAGTTGGTACACTCTGACCCAAATTCGAAATGAATGACCCCTAATGGAGCAGACTGTAACAAGTAGCGCCACAGTAAATCTACAAATCCCTTTTTTACTATTACATAGAATTGCATCATCATGAAACGTGTTGTTCCATTACTCTTAAACAAAGCAAATTTATTTCTCAAAATCCCAATACAATTTTGCTCAAACGTTAACCTGCAGGCTGCATTTATTCATACGATAGACTTTTTTACTTAAGTAGGTCAACAGATTCTGTAAATGTTAGCATTATGGGAGATAATCTCAAAGTCTATCATCATCACTGTCTTAAAAAAGGGGACAGTATTTTCTTACATGAATGTATAACTAGATGGCTACCAAACCCGAAGGTTCATCACCGAATTAACCAGACCATGTTTCGCACCCATACAAAACAACAGGCAAAATTATTGTTTTGTATACTTTAATTTTCAGGTTCTTAGAAATCAGACGGGAAGACAAAATATTTTGAACTGAGAAGTAGCAAGCATTTCCAGAATTTAATCTCCTCCTAACTTCCTCATGAATATCATTTTGATTTGTTTTTGTTGTTCCCAGATATTTGAACGCACCTTCAAAGGATTTATTAGCCACCCTAAGATAATTTTGCCCTCCTGTCTTCTGATGACGAGATACTAACATAAATATATGAATGACAATAATTGATCTTCATACAAAATTTCAAATTCCGATTCCAGTGGTCCATTAGACAGGTACATAATGTCAAAGTACTTCACATCACGTTCCGTCGAGTCGTTTCCGACTAATGGCGACCTCGTGAACCTTTGTCCTTTAGTTCTTCAAGATTTAGGCTGGTAAATTCTTTGATGGAGTTTAAGGATCGCAGTCTAGGCCGTCCACGCCCCTTTCTCCCCGACGTAGATCCCGATATGATATTGTTCTCCATTAGCTCTTCCGCCCGCTTGATGTGGCCAAAGTACGTAAGTTATAACTTTGTCATTAGAAGCTTCCAACGAACAGGTCGGTTTAATGCGTTCGATGATTGCAGCAATGGTAACCCTTGCGGTCAGGGGAACTCCAAAAATTCTTCGCTACGTTTAGAGTTCAAACGTTTCAACCCGCCTTCTTTCATACTTTCGCACCCATACGTTGCCACTGGAAACACCATCGCACGTACTATGAGGATTTTTGTTGGCAAGAATACCTCACTGTCTTTTATGATCTTGGTGAGATTTGCCATAGCGGCCTTTATTGCAGCCTCCTTTTCACTTCTTTGGTGCAGCATCCTTCCTAGTCGATCAGGGAGTCCAGCAAAACCAATTGGTCGACCACTTCTAAGCACTTGTCGTCGACTCGGAACTCTGGCAGATCGTTTATAGCCATCACCCTCGTCTTCTTTAGGTTGAGTGACAGTCCCATATCGTAACCACTCTGTCTGACTTTTCTAAAGTTCTGCAAGTCAGTTTTACTTTCTGCTAGAAGCGTAGTGTCTCAGGAAAACACGACGTCATTATTTACTTCGCAGGAAATGGTCCCATATTATTTTTGTGTATGCTTTACTAGCTTTCAAGTAAGAGAACACAATAATCTTGCTTCAAATTTCAGAACAAATGTTCATTTTACAAAGGTAAATTTCGTATCGATTTGAGGTTAGGGAAAAACCAGAATACTAATATCAGGCCCACATTATTTAAAGATCGTATTTGTTCAGTCCCTTTTTGTACCAGAGTCCCACGTCATGAAGTGGTTATAAAAAGCGAAAATAAAGATCAGCATCGGATTTAGTCGGAGGTTACTCGTTCATTTCATCCTCAGACAGTTTGTTTCTTAAGAAAAATTTTGATATGATGGACACCCGAGATCATTTAGACGTAAAATAGAGGAAAATATTTCTAACGTCCGTGCTGGAAATCAAATACAGGCCGTGATATGTACAGCATCGCCTTAATTATTGTTTTTATTGTCGTCCATTGTGTAATTTATTTAATTTTAATAAAATTCGAAGTTTATAAAAAAAAATTAGAAATACAGTAGATTCCGGTTAATCAGGGCAGCAGTTTATTTGGACAAACATTTTTAACTCCTTACGTGGAACTTCGCATAATTGGGGCAAGCGCTTAATTGGGCCAGAGTCTTCTAGTCCCGATGTGTCCCATTTAACCGGAAACCACTATACTTGTTTTGTGCGAACTAAATACGTCATAGCCTTCATTTGTTACTTATGGGAAAGACTAGCCCCGTAGATCTTTGTGTGTTTGTTTGTTTGTTTGTTTGATTCTTTGTTTGTGTGTGTGTGTGTGTGTGTGATCTGCCCCAATGAAATTTTAAGAAACTGGGAAGATTGTAAATAAACGTGGTATGGAAATCGTGCAATACCAGGCCACATTTATTGAACTTTTATTTTCCTCCCAACATGATTTCTATCATGATAGCAGTTCTAACAAAAAAAAAATAGCGATACAAAGTTTTAATATGAGATTATGGTTGGCAACAGGTTTTCGAAAATATTAAATTTTCGTCCAAGCTGCCACCATCATCGTCCTAATGATGGATGCAGAAAGAACGTCTGATAAGTTCGTGAGCTTCTCCAGACTACACGTCAATATAGACCAGGAGACGGCCATCTTTGGACTCACGGCCGTGAAAACATCAAAATCTACCTAATATCTTGCCAGAAAATATGAGAAGGTTCAACTATCATACTGCAAAACCGGATTCGAATTGGGGGGGGGGGGGGGGGGGGTAACTTCCTTCTTAGTGACTGCTTTAGATCTTAAGCCTATCACAGGTGCGATGGTTTCTGTAGTTATGTTGTTTAAAGACGTCCCTGATTTGTTAAATTATGCCCAAATCACTAACTTGTTCATTTAACATATTATATATTAAATGCCGTCACTCTGCACCATAACTGGAGTGCTGCTAATTTTTAAGTACTTTGTTCTCTAATGGTAAGATATTTCTGAGCCTCAAAATATTTCTGAGCATCATTGCAACATTGGAAGCGACACAAATGTCGTCCTTGTAAACGAGTTGTCTAAGCATGAGTACTCAAAATGTTGGAAGCACACAAGCAAGATGTATGTTCAGACATTTCCCATTCACATGACTAAACCTTAAAGGAAATGTGACTTATCGTGAATAAATGTCTCCAATGTTTTCGTCTTGAGTAACCGATGTTCACCAAGCCCTTGTTGTGACAATGAAGAGACAATTGTCACTTCATCAGTCTGTTAGTCAAAGTAATCACATTTAAGAGCGTCACACAGACTGAGATTAGTTCCTAATCTTTCTGCTGGATATTTCTGACTCTGGGAGTGAATTATAGACTGAGACATTGGTAATTAATACTTATAACATTTTATGAACAATATATACTGATCCTTATTGTGCCAGTCCAGGTCCGTGGTTCAATTCCCGAACGGACTGAAACTTGAGATGAGGGGTAAACCAGGCTTTGGCATATTAATCTGGTTTATATGAACGAAGGAGGTGTGATTAGATGATACTTGGTACACCTCACTTCATGCTGTTCGGCACGTTTCCGACGTCATAAGTGACTTTTTGGGGGGACGAATCGGATTGTCATATTCAATTCAAAATTCAAAAACAGTTACGTTGCGGGAATATAAAAAGCGAGGTTGCGTTGGGGCTCGCTCTCTAAAAGTTCGGTTCTTCAAGGCAAGCAGACAGTTTCTCCTCGATTCATCAAATTACAAGTACAAATACAACAGCCGAATCATCGCGCTGCCCAAAAATCAGCATAACTTATTGAAAGGAATTAAAAGGTGGAATATTTCCAAGGTGAAATCGGTGTGGTCTGCAGTCGATCATCCCCACAGATTTCACGTCCTTGGCGCACGGCCGCTCCAACTATCACAGTCCCCGTATAATCCCTGAGAGTCGGACAATCTTGCTCGCCGACAAACCCTACACCAATTATTATTCCTTATATCCTTCCGCTTTATATCAAGCTGTAACCGCAAGCAAACCGGGCACGCTACTGGGTTTGATCCCGGGGCAACCAGAGTAAGAAGAAAAACAGTCAGCGGAAGGGCGGTTGCATTATTGACCCCAGGGACCATGGCACCCGCTTCGCTGTTTTCCATGTACCACAGACCCCGTTAAATTCAGCCTTACCGTAAACACTAGCCACACCAGGAACAGGACGGATATCTTGGTGTACCGCATCCACGGCTTCAGCGCCCGGATCCCCGCAGTCGGGATGTCCGGAGAAGGATCCACCACATCATCGTCGTCGTCTTCCTCCAACTTTTTGTCGCTCGCCCCTTGTTTCCTGCACAGGAAGCCGACTTATGACAGGAATGAATTTTGTCTTTAAAAGTAATATTTGAAATTGAAATGGCGTTTGAAATAATAGCATAACTTCATTATCCTTTATTTATTACCGACCTCGTTTATGTCTATTTTGCTTTATTTAACAATGTTGTTAGATCAGATCGCAAAAAACTCTAAACCATGTCACCATCCTGACCTCACAAGTAAAAAAAAAAAGATGAAGCCCCTTCTGCGGGATAAGTTTTCGTTCCAGGCCTTCGGAGCAGGGATTCGCATAATTACCCACAGCATGGCAGATTATAAGGCCGTGATGTTTTACCTTAACAACTGCAAACACCTATTCACATTTTACCCAGAATTCAGGTAGTGAACACCTGTTCGGAAGATATTTCCCTTTCCCTCCAAGTGATCGGCCTGGGTATCATTAATTCAAAACAAATGATAGCTAACACCCACTTCTAAGGGTCCTGCAATAACCGTACCCCTATTCCTACCTGCTCTGGCACGCTTTCAGATGACACAAATCTCTACAACAGAGATATAAATGTTAAAACCTCTCAGACAAATGCCAGGGCAAAATTCAAAAGGGGCACGGCCCACCATCCCCAACCATGGAGCTGAAATGATCCCCCCCCCCAGTCGCAAGAGGCCTTTAGCCAAAGTGATCTCGCCTCTCCTGGGTTCAAGTCCCTGTTAACCATCCAACCAACATCCTTTTTACGAGGGGCAAATTCCCTGACGGGATAACCTCCCATCACAAGCATCCCTCGTTTGAGTTACTGAGGTTATTTATCTGCTCCAAGTAGGAGCTCAAACGTACGAAACATCATTCAGGGCCCCAGGGACTGCTACTGGTAAAAGTTAACTTCCACAATTTTTATTTTCCAAAAATGGAAAGGTAAGAAGAGCATTCTCGTTGTCATTTAGCTTTATTCCGTTATTAATTAACTATTGATTACGTTGTTTAGAAATTCATAAATATATTATTCAGGCGTGTTTTCATATTTGTACTACAAATAAATAACTTCGCGTGCAAATTTCTTTTTTTTTGCATAAATAATTAGGTAGCGCATAGTGTTGCAGTAGACAATCAGGCAACAATAAAGAGTATACAAATACCATTACTAATAGATGTCCCCACTCACAGTAAAATTTTTTTTTTGTTCTACGATTACATCTTAGCGACGACTTACTTAGAGAAGGCTCTTGCTGAAGACGTAGGTATTACTTCCTTTAATCCACGTTTCGTCTTGGAAAGCTGTTGGATTTTCCGAACATTATTCTCTTGTTTCTTAGAATAATTTATCGCAGTTCTATAAAAAAAACAAATACAAAAATTTAACAAAAATTACTCATCAGAATTGAAACTGTTTACTAGCAAGGACGATGGGCTTGTCACAGTAATTACAGTGAAGTTCTGACTTTCCATTCTTCCCTACAACAACCATAATTTGAGTAGAGGAAGTTCCACCACCAATTTCCATAAAAGCGAGTAACACTGGAACAAGTGCTAAGCCTGGCGGAGTAAGTGCCATTATATAATACCAGAAAGTGAAAATTAAAAGAGTTCCACTTTATAACTCCCGAATTTCATGTCCATATCGGCACACCAACTAAATTTGTTGTTGCACTTTCTCTACGCAAATTAAAGAGAGCTAGCCACTTCGTTATGATAATTATATCTAGCGTAAGAAGCAGGTAGTACATAATTCTAGAACTCAAATCGTGACCAGAATTGCGTCTGGTGTTAAACAAATATCACTATGTTAATTCCAAAAAATCATGTAACAGTCACATGTGATACGAATTAAATACCACCAATTAATTCCAGGTAACCGGATACTGTATGTGTTTTGAGGAGTGTTACGACGGTCAAACTGACCATAGACGATGGAAAAAAAATTCTTTAGTTGGCTACGCGTATGTACAATTTTAGTTTAATATTTCTCAGCACACGGTAAGTTTTCTATGCGCTTGTCAAGTTACAAAACTTATCTTTTACTATTATAAAACTAACTCTCACTAAAAACAATACATCATAAACCAGGATGCGAATAGAGTGTGGTGAAATTAACCTAGTATTTTTTCCGCATCTCACCAGTGAACGAAAAAATAATTATAAAATATTTTCATATTGATTGCACAATTCCTATTACAATGGTATTCAAGCTCGTCACATTAAAACAAAATAAAACCAAAAAAAAAAAATTCTAGAAACCTGAACCATTTTCGAGTCTTTTGTCTTTGCTTAACATCAATCAATTTATAAACTCAGTTTGTTAAGAAAAGGCTTGTTCACGCAGATGCATCATTGCGAGATTTTTTAAGATTCGGAACATTTCCATAAAGCAATGCTGGAGAGAATTGTCTGCTGTATGATTTGTTGGAATTCTTTTAAGTTCCCTTTTAATATTATACTACATCTCCATTCAGCCACTTCCTCTTGTATGTTTGTAAGCAGGGAATCTGTTTTCTCTTCAGGCATATAAAACGGATTGTTAAATAATGAGATATTACATTCCTACTTTAAAATACGAGACCTATTTCAAGAGAGAATCAAATACTTCTTTTAAATGATTATTTTGATAACATATTTTGAAAATCTGATATTGCCCACACTTCCCGTTACATCGAAACGGGACCAGGGGTTTGTTATTATCGTCTCGCAGTGCACCGTTGTGGTCTTTGCTAAGATCTTCAGACGAATCCGAAAGCCCAGAACAGTCCATTTTTCAGAAAGTGAATAACAACGAGACAATATGATGGGGAGACCTTGACATGCAGTTCGCCAGTCGAATCTTTGTATATCAGCAGCCTTGTCCTAAGACTTAATTTTTACGGTCGGAGTGTTTGCGCTTTGGCACTCTGGTAACATGGAAATTCACGAGGATTTTGAAACTGTATTCTTCGCCGACCGAATTAAGTAAAAGTTTCGACTCAAGAGACAGCTGATGTGGGGAAGCTCTTAGTTGGGCGAATTTGAAGGCACTTGTGTCACCAAGAATTATCTGACGTCACTGGCAGTTAACCAAGAAGAAGTAATTGCTCGGCAGGCCTGTCTAGGCTCCCTGAAAATGTATCCTTCAGCCAAAATGATGCCCCCTCCTCAAGTCGCTTAGACTTTCAACCAAAATTTAGATTAAACTATCGAACATCCATAAATTATCAGTCGTTTTCGTGAAGGAAAAGTTGCTTAATGGAATAATGTCCTTAGTCCCCCTAGATATAAACTGTGGTCGAAACATGTCAAGGCCTTTAGACCGTTAGAGTTTAGAAGCACCGTATACCAATTCCAGCTACCCATTTGAAACGCAGGAATGGTTTAACAAATGATTTAGTCAAGGACAACGTCTCAAGTCTCAACTATTTCCAATAAGACACATTTACGGGCCAGCGATCTTTGATTTGAGGAGCAGGAGCGCTTGGATTCCAGTACAGTTTTGTGACACAGACAGGGGTGTCCAAGAGAATGTGATTTAACAAGCAAAAAATCTGAGAATGAGTTGAATAATTAATTGCACTATGTATAAGTCGTTACAACATTCTTGCATTTTAAAGGACGCATCCGTTATCACTGATCTACGTTACAACAGTGGCCGTTTCTTTATTAGTCTCCAACATCAGTTTTAATGGGCATCGGTTCAACCGTTCCAGAGTTGATTCGTGCGTACGAACGGAGTAAGCGATTTAAACAGGCGCTCCTCATACTTACAGAAAAGGCTTAATAATAGTAGAGTTTAATAATAATACATGTAAACTTGTCTCTTAATTGATGTAGCAATACCATCTGACACGAATGTAATTAAGATGGAAGCGGGGGAGATCTTGAAATACAAGGACCTTCTCATTGAAATACAGAGAATGTGGAAAGTTCAAGCAAAAGTAATCCCAATAATTATAGAAGCGACAGGAACTGTCTCCAAGTCACTCAGAAAATATTTGGCCAAAATCTCGGGCGAAGACGACGTCAGGGAATTAGAGAAAACTGCCATTTTAGGATCTTCATATTTCATTCGAAAGACGCTGTCGTAAAATATGTAGTCATCTCTAACAATAAAACTATATAATACATATTAAAAACAAAATGTATTTCTGAAATAGCTGCTGAGCTATGCACCTCAGTGGCAAGGTTTGTCTCGGGTCCATAGAAGTGGTGAATAGATGGAATATTAATAACAATTATTATTAGGCTGTTTGTTTTCTTAATTTTATAAATCTACTTACGGAACAAACTGGATGTGGGCTTCGCAGTGCTCCAAGTAAGGCAGATTAGTCCATGGCACAATCGTGGAATTGTTGCTTCCAGAAGAGGAATCCTCGCGAGACCTCTTTTTGCGTGGACTTAAGGTTTCTATCCCTTTCATGTTTCAGTCCTGCG